TTTCCCAGATCTCTAAGATTAGAGACCTGCCCTGAGATGCAAAATGAAAAACCACAACACTTGTAAAGTAGGAAAAGTTTTCATAGGAAAGTGAAGATATTTAATAAAAAAAGAAATACATCCCCCACACCACAAAGGTGTGCAGATGGGAGCTGCCAGAGAAGGGCAACTGCACTGGGTATGGAGTTATGTGTTACATTTGTTCTAAGAGTTGGTAATGAATATTTAGCAAAGGAATGTCTGTCATAGTATCTTGTTTCTTTGCTTAGAATTTGTGGGCCTTTTCCTGCAATTGTGTATCTCTCTCTCTCAGGTGAGAAATTCACTCACCTAATCACACATGCCCAGTGTGGACTTGAAGGGTATGAACATCCATATAGGAACTGCCAAATTAGCTTATTGCTTCAGTGGGGATCAGGACGTTGACCCAGCATCCTATCCCAGTGTGAGTTTCTGTGTGTATATTTGGGGTGGCAGGAAGGAAGATAACAACCTTCCCTGGGCCAGAAGCCAGAAGGAATTTTCCAAGAGGGTATGGTTGTAACTCCTAAGAAACTATGAATGAAGTGACAGATGTTCTTCTGCTATTTTCTTAGGGCTGCCTGCTCATTTCTAGCTAACTGCTTATCACAGTCCCACAGTGCAGCAGTTAAGCACTACACAGAGAATGCCAGATCCATGTGGCCAACCAGGATTTAAGTCCAGTCAGGTAAACTGAAAAATCCTAACAGAACAGAGAATTCAAAGAAAAGAGTGCAGCTGACTAGGCCCTGTTTGCGGGGCTGTCACGATCTCACTCCTATGTGTATGTCCCCTCTGGCATAAAAAACAAACAACAACAAGAAAAGTTAAAGCTAACAGTATAAAAGCAAACCATCCTTCTGTTTCTACTGCACGAATAATCAAAAAAAAGTTATTATCTTTTCTTTTTTCTACTACCCTCTCTTTAAAAGTAAATTTTGGCATTACAGCCCCAAATTTCTACTAATGAATAATCATGTCAGTTGTCACTCAATTATCACTTCCAACATTTAATCTAAATTATGTTCAGCACCTTGTTTTTTTTCCTTCTTTGAAGTTCTTCCTTTAATTTAAAAGTCAAATTTTTTTTTCCAAGAAGAGTAAGTTGATGGGAGATGGAGGCAGAGATTAAATCAGGGGAAATCATTGATCAAGGATGCTTGGAATTCTTATGAATACAAATAGCCTATCAAGGTTAATGAGGTTCAACTTGAGTTTAGAAGAAGGAAAAAAAAATATGCTTAGTATTTTCTATGCATACACAGATTTAAGGCCCTAGGTACAATTTGAAAGGTAAATTATGCAAACTCAAATGTACCTTCCTTCCACTTTGTTTTTCTTTTAAAAGCTATTTTTACTGTTTTTACACAGTACAAAACAACTGCTTAAAACATATATCCTGGATCAAGAAAAACTAATACAATTAGAGTGAAAATTTCCCCTGAATTTTGACGACTCTTCCAGAAATGAATGTGCCATTAAGAAATGACTGGATAACAAATATTAGCTTTTAGAAACAATCATACAATTTTTCTACAATATATTATATCAGTCAGTAATTACTAATTGAGCACCTGATACGTTTACGACATTGTGAGGGACTACAGGGAGGGAGACACAGAAACAAAATCTGGCTTTTAACCCATATCCATTTATGATCTGAAAAGGGACAGAAGCCTTTAATTCCTAACTGGCTCCCAGAATGCTACAAGTCTGAATTATAACATCAATGAATACAGGTAAATGGCCCAGGGCAATATCTGTGCACAGCAACATATCAAAAGAAACAGAAAACGTAAGGTTGGACATCAAAGTGGAAACACAAGAGAAGATTGTTAGAAAGACAAGAGATGTCAGTTCAACACACTCCAGGAATAGACGGAATCTAGCTGACATAAATAGGCTCCCTGGTTATAGATCTCTGTTAAAGGAAGGTGAAACATTGGGAAGCCTCACTACGGTCATGAACAAACAACCCTTTAGACATCACTACTCTATAATTCCACGTTCACTAAGCAATTTTTCTGGTTACTAATTCTAAACCTAGGTACCGAAAATTGGTAGATTGGTGTCCTACACAAGAAAATAGTGTTTTGATGCTAGATAGGACACCCACAGGATAAACCAATGAACTGGCATTCTTTAATACACTGCTCCCTTATGATGTCCTGGGTCACGTTACCTCTAGGACACAGAAAACTCAAGTTACCATGTGTGAGAACAAGACCTTGAAATATGACATCTTCGTTAAAGTAAGACACCAACTTCAATCTGCCTTGATGACAGGGCAGCTGGCTTTCTCCTTCATATCCTTTTCTATTTTATTTTGGCCCATTTTGAAATTTTGAAGAAACACACCCAGATAAAGAGAATAGTTGAAAAATGCCAAGGCACTCTAATGATAAGGACAAAAGGATTATTCAGAAGTAAATAGTATCACTTACAGCTGATAATAAGGGCCTCTGGCATATTATCTGAGAGGCACACCTCTTGCTGAGATTCTGCCTTTATGAGAATCTATTTGATAATAGAGATACAGCCAGAAACTTCAACCAATTGGAATCTCTTTGAACTTCATTGCTGACCACTTAATGACATTCTCCACCTATTTGAGTATCACTTTAAAGGGACTGGTCTCCCAGACCAAGAGGAAGATTCTTCCTGTGGAAACAGATTTTGATTTGTTATTAGCACAAATGTGCTTGTAAAGGTAATATCTTTCAGAGATGAAAACTTTTTTTTGTGATGTCTTTTTCAATGGCAACTACGAAAAACAATCTTTTCATCGCCTAAAGGAATTTGTCCTTAGATGCAAGACAAACTCATTGTATGTTTCTACTTAATATATTCTGAATATCTGCACTCTATGGCAGAAATTGGAAGACCATGAGGTATAAAAGCATAGAGAGCAACTGTGGATAGTAGAGACAGTGTTGGAGAAGAGAGGGTAATGGGAGGCAGGCAGGAGGGAATCAAGGGGAAAAAAAAGCAAAACATTTAATGGACACAAAAATGGAAAATTATCTGTTAATAGTAATGTGTATGGTACTGTCTTTGGACTGATATGTGGTATATTGAGAGGATTCATTTTTTATGCTGTGGAGATGTACAGTGATTAAATGTAAAAAAAAAAATACGTGAAAATTTCAAAAAGAAAAAGAAAAAAAGATGAAACAAAAGAAGCAAGACAAACTCTGAGAACTTTCTGCATCAGTTTTTGAATATCAATTGCAAGAGACGTGAATTGGCTTGGTTTTTATCCATAACTATGTCCTCAGCACCTAGAACAGTTCCTGGCATATAATAAACAGTTGATATTTGATGTGTGAGTAAAAATCCTTTCCTCAATCTTTTTACACACCCAAACTCTATAAAATCATCCAAACTAACCCAAAAGAACTCAAGCTCTTTCTATAACTGATGTGAAAATGTAAAAGGGGAACCAGCAGTTGGCAAAATGGCTATGTCGCTGGACTCCCATGTAGTCGACCACGGTTCAAGGCCCGGACCCAGTGGCTTAAACTCATACCGGGCATGTGTGCAGGCATGCCCAAGATCCCAAGAGGAGAATGGAGGAGAAGGGATTGCAGGGTGGTCATCCCCCCTCGGGAGTGATTTCTCGCTTTCTATCTCTCTGTCTCTCTTTCTGGCAAGCGCACATGCCCTATAGCAAAAAAAAAAAAAAAAAAAAACTCTCCAAAAATAATAATAATAATAAAATAAAATGTAAAAGATTTATTACATTAGGACATGGAGAAAGCCAGTATCCTTGAATGAGAGCATACACTATGACAATTTTTTAAATGCCCACATACTTAAAATCATTTTTCTTCCATTTAAATTACAACCAGTAATGAGAAGAAATGAAGAGAAAGAAAAAAAGAAACGAGGGATAACCAACATATGGTTATGAATATCTAGCAAAGGGGCTTCTCCACCTTTAAAATTTATTGGCATACTTTAAAAAAATAAAAAAGGACTTCAGCAAAATAATCATTTTCAGCACTTTTATCAGCAGGATCAAGGGCTAAAATAATAGCCATGAAGCAAACTTTAAAAGTCATAAAACTACCATTGCTCTGAGACTATTTGTAGAGGGCTTTATAAAGAGTATGTCAATATTTCATTATCTTTACAATCTGAATCTTGAACCAAATCTAAAAGTTTCTATAGACAGGCTGACAAGATGAAAGAGAAACTCAGACTGGAGTAACATTAAATATTTCCTTTGGGTTATAAAAAGTTATGTGCTTCTATCACCAATTTTCTACCTTCCTTTATACTTTTGGAAATCTTCCAAATGCAGCAACTTACTATAATTAGAACTTCGCTATTAAAAACAGATACAGAGGGAGAATTGATACATATCTATTTTCACATGTGTCATCCACGTTTGATCTAATTTGCATAATTATAATTTGAATTAAGCCATTTCCTTTTATGAGGTCTTTTCCTCTGATTTTTTAATACATTCTGATAATTACCTCACCTATGCTGGATAAAAGGCAAGCAGTGAACACTAAGTAACGAGTTACACTTCATTCGTGGTGACCTATCATTCCTGATTACCACTAAAGTCTAAATTAATGGAGGCATCACACCTGTACCTCATCCAAAATAGCTAGAGATCTGAAAACCTCTACAGCTTCCAAAAAGAAAGCTTAGTAATAATTTTCACTATGCCTTCTGCCAGTTTCACCCCCAGATAATTCACTGTTCTCTCAGAGAAGAAAAGTCTCTTCCATCTGTAGAAAGAGCTCAACTGCGACAAAACAAAAGTATTTTTACATTTAATTAGAGGTTCCTGGCTGTGGGTCTCAAATGAAAGAGAAATAAAATCATAAGAATGTCTATATATTAGTGATTACCAAACTTTACATTACCTCTACCCGAAAGAACATTTTTGTATCAAAATTTCATTGACAATTCTGTGAAATAAAATTAGTCTTTCAAATACAACTTAAAAATAGCAAAGTCACCTCTATTTGTGCCGCCAAATGTGCTTTCTCCTTGTCTTTCCGCTCCAAGCATCGCTTCGCTTCCTCTAACTCAGAGGCCATAGCGCTGAAGTTCAGCTGTACTCTCAAATCTGACATCTGCTTCTCCACATCCAGTTTTTCCCGCTCAACTCCTTAAAAGAAAAAATGCAAAGCTTAGTGGTTGTCCTTCTTTATTCGCAGAAGAATGTCTTTCAAATGGCTCTGAGTCCTGATACTTTTTAATTCTACCTGACATAATACATTTATAGATACTGCCACTCAAGATTTCCCATACTTTGCCAACCTATTGTTTAAAGTAACAGTTTTCAAAAATATATGCATTTCTATGCCATCCAATAATAGTCCACTTTAATACTAAAATTGAAAATGTTATCTGATAATTGTACAATTTATTATAGGAAAATCCAGCACAGTTTTCCTCACATCTCTACATTAACTCCAAAAAGTAAAATACTAAACTTATTTTCAAGTAACCCTCTCTATTTAGTTACAAAAGTTTACACAAATAAATGTTTTTCTTACAACATAAACAATGATGCTGCTAAATCTGATAGTATACAAAACACCAATTTACTACTTTAGAGACTATCATATAAAACAGTATTGCTGAACAATATCAATTGACTTAATATTTAATTCAACATGAAATACTTGGTCTGTAATACACAGGGCACTTCTTCAAATATAAGGTGACTAATATAAAAACCCATTCTCAATGAGTATACACCTCCAAGAACACAAATAAGATATAAATAAAGTACTGCCTTAATTTTAAAATGTCAACAATTTAAATACACAGTAATAATATTTTTTGAGAAATTTTTGCTCTAGGGCACGTGTGCTTGCTAGAGAGACAAAGAGAAAATGAGAAGTCACCCCCTGGGGAGATGACCACGCCATAATCCCTTCTCCTTCATTCTCTTGGGTTTGGGGCACGCATGCACATGGAGCTGGCATGAGTTTCAGGCCACTAGGTCCAAGACTCTAACTGCAGTCAGTCACATGGGAGTCCAGCATGCCTTAACCACTACATCACCTGCTGGCCTTAGTTTACAATTATAGTTTTTCCAGTGATTTCCTTTAAAAAGAGGGAAAGAAGGCAAGGAGGAAAAGGAGGAAGATAAGCAACAAAGTCAAATTCATACATAGTGCATAAAATATATCTTAACTTAGAAATAACAAAGTGTTCAAAATTGTGCATATTGGAAGAAAGACATAAGGCATTTCAATAGATCGGTGAAGGATACATGAGCATTATACAGAAAGAGTATAAAGGACAGAGGCATCAACCCTATCTTGCTGAGAAACTAAGAAGGAAGGATTGGGAACTAAATAAAATTTAAAGACCTGGGGCCAGCAGGTGGCATGGTGGTTAAGGGCTCTGGACTCCCACATGGCCAACCGTGGTTCGAGTCCTGGACCTGGTGGCTTGTTTTCTCACTTTCTCTCTCTCTGTCACTCTGTCCCTCTCTGGTCAAATTAAAATAAAGAAATAAAAGTTAAATAAAATAATTCTTAAAAAAAAAAAAAAGATTTAAAGGATGAATACAAAAGCTCACCAAGCAAAGGGGATGGAGTCAGATGTTACTTTAGGAAAAAACAAACAGCTTAGAGAACTGGGACCACAAAATCGAATTTTCTGTTCAGGTAACTACACAACTCTAGTTCTGTACAGCTAACACATGTAATACAAAGGTGAAAAGGAGAGTCAGTAGAGCTTATGTACAGCTAGGGAATTTACAATGTGTCCTACAGGCCGGAAGTCAACAAACATTTTCAATAAAAAATGAGATAATAAATACGTCAGACATATGATTTCCTCCACAATTACTCATACCTGTCATTGTATTACAAAAGCAGAACAGACAGCATGCAAATGAATGGGAGTAGCTATGTTCCAATCAGGTTTATTTACAAAAACAGGTGGCAGTCTAGGTTTGGCCCACAGGTTCTGTGATAACCACTCTTGGTAGGTCTCCAACTAAAAATCTATGGATCGATTCATGTGTTGATTTAATGATTTCCAGATACATTAAGTATTTACAAATATTTTATAAATATGTATAAAACATTAATTTTATAAATATATGCATTTTATTTTATAAACCTATTTGCACATGTATGTCTATATATATAACATATGTCTCAATAGAATCTATATATAGAGAGAGATGTCTCCTGATCTATATAACATTACTAAGACACATAAAATGTGAAGACAATTTCTGTGTGTGTGTGTGTGTACACATACTTTATAAAGCATATATATAGAATGGAGACATATATAATATTTTGGTATGCTTCATTATATATATATTCACATATAAAATGTTAGTATGGATAAATGCACACATACATTCACATACATATATCTATATAGCAAATATTTACCACAATTAAGATATGTAAAATATAAAGTATAAAATAAAGGTAGTATTATAAACACTCTCCCCCACATCTAAAGGATTGTCTCACATACTCCATGTTGGAGAACACACGAGTCAACACAGGACAGCAGTAAAGAGCTCGAGTTTGACATCTACAATGACTAGGCCCTACTCAAATATCTGACCTAACCTCAGAAAACTCTTCACAGGAGAAAAAAGCTGTTTTCACATACCATAGGTGACAAAAACAAAAACAAAAACAAAACAACAAGAAACCACATTCAAGTTTGGGGAAGAAAATATTTGGGTCTATGGTTTCCCACACGTGTGCTCTTTGGTGAGTTACTTGATCCATTGTTCTTCAATCTTTCTTTTATCTTTAATCATTAAAATGGAAAGACCAGTACACTCCTCATGGAGTAGTTGTATGAATTAAGTGAGACAATGGAAAATGAGTAGCATAAGGCTTTGCTTGTAGTAAAAACTCAAAAATTGTAACCGAAAGTTTTAACCAAGAAGATAACATGATTAGTTGGTATCTCTGCAGGGTCCCTTTAGTAACAGTATAGAAGACAGGATATGGAAGCACCAGGATAGGGAAAGGCAAGATAAGAGAGCAGTACAAGTGACATGAAGCATATGTAACCTGGGGTAGTGCGTATAAGAAAGAGGTAGGACAGGACCAGCAGTTGGCATAATGGCTATGTTGCTGGATTCCCATGTAGTCAACTGCAGCTCAAGACCCGGACCCAGAGGCTTAAACTCATACTGGGCACATGTGCGTGCGTGCCCAAGATCCTGAGAAGAGAATGGAGAAGGGATTGCGACATGGCCATCCCCACCCCCCCACCCCCAGTGGGTGATTTCTTGCTTTCTGTCTCTCTGTCTCTCTTTCTCTCTCTCTGGCAAGCACACACACCTATAGCAAAAACCTCTCAATAAAAAGGAAAAAAAAAAGAGGACAAGTTTAAGAGATAATTAGGATGCATAAATAGACAAGATGAAAGGAGTAATTAGATGAAGGAGAGAGGAATAATTCTGATGTGGGTGCTTCCTCACTCCCTGTCATCCACACTGTTTCTCTCTGGCAAACTTTAACAGGCACACTTTAACAAAATTTAAAAAAAGAAAAAGGAAAAAAAAAAAAAAGGAAGGAAGGAAACAAAGGAGAAGGAAAAACAAACTGTGAACAAAGTGAAAAGACTCAAATAAAAATAAACTGAAAACAACTAAGGCAGAACTAGGAAAGCATAGGGACCTCAAATTCAGTACAAGAGTTGCAAGAAGGAAGAGGAAATACTTAGGGGACAGTAGATTAAGAACTACAAAGAATTCTTTGAGATTGATGAAGGGGCTCACTAGTAAAGCACTTCTAAATGTTAGAAGCAGAAGTGGAACCTATTTTTGAGTGGACAGACGAAAAAACAGCAGCTGCACTGTGAAAATGACTACGATATCACATGTAGAATTATTCTTTAGGTAATACTAGTATTCTTTGAAGATGAAAACTGAATGTGAAGTCTATTATCACACAGATAAAATTTCATACACATTTTTAAAAGAACCTGTACATAGTAAAGAAAGGTACATAGTCCTCAAAGACTTATACCAAAAAAACTACATTTTATGAAGTATTGAAACACACAACAAAAGTGCCAGAATATTTTACTAATGAAATTAGTTTCCATATGTTCATTTTTATGAAAATGTAGTGAATAATAGCTTAGGAATTTAATTTTTAAATTTTTTTATTTCAAATGGTACTTAAAATAGTAATACCACATGAAACTTAAGTAAACTAAATGACATATAAAAATATATTAAGATAGCTTTGTCAAAATTTAATACCTATTAAAGATTTTCTGACAATGCAGGAACTCTGGGTTAGGCAACATTTGAGTTATATTTGAAAAGCCTGGGGAAATATTTACCTTCCCTGAATTTAATAGTATATCAAATGCTTACAAGAGTTTCTCCAATAATTTGGGCATTTGCATAGGATATCTCATTACTGCAATAATTTACAAGCTGAGCAATCTGGACTCACTTAATAGAAATCATTACAAAAATCTCTAACAGGCCAGCAGGTGGTGTGGTAGTTAAGGCACTGGACTCCCACAAGGCTGACTGGGGTTCAAGCCCTGGACTTGACGGCTTGCTTTCTCACTTTCTCTCTGTGTGTCTCTCTCTCCTTCTGTCTTTCTCTCTCTCATGATCATATATACCCTATAGGAAATTTTTAAAAATAGTAATAAATAAAATTAAATAGGTAACTATTTTTAAAAACTTTTTTTTCCAATGTCAACATCACCATTTCTGTTAAACCTGAACTCATTCAGAGTCATTAACTTACACAATTAACACCTCCACTAAGAAGTCATTCTAACATTTTTCAAAGGGTGTTCCTGATCCACAGAAGAAAAAGCCACTATGGCTCATGACCACTTCTGGGACATGATTAATTTTTGTCACCAATCTTCGGATAAAAAAGAAGATAAAGGTCTTAATTTTAATTATTCATACACTGAAAGTTGGGACAAAGGAAATTTAAAAATAGAGGAACATTTATAATATAAGTACAAAGACAAGTGAATGCACACATACACAGAAACACACATCTAGGCACAAGAACAAGAAACTAGAAAAATTCCCACTTCTGCCTTCACAGGCCCTTTCTAAGAAAAATTCTCATGAGCTAAGCAAGTCTGACAACCAAAATGAGTTGAGAAATCACTCACAGAAGACATTAAAAATGCATGCGAAATTATGATCAACTTATTGGAAAACCTTGTTGCAAATCAAGAAGCAGGATAACATGAGCATAACAAAATGAATGCAATTCTGAAAAACAGAAAGTATTTTCTAGGACAGATCAAAACACCCCACGTGTTTACAAGTCAGAAGTATTCCTCTCCTAACTCTCCTACACTGTTGGTAAACTGGTTCAGCCACTGTGGAAAACACTATGGAGTTTCCTCAAAAATCTACAAATAGAACTACCATTTGATCTAGCAATCCCACTTCTGGGTATCTACCCAAAGGCCAGGAAAATACTCAGTTGGAAAAGCGATTGCACAATAATGTTTACTGCAGCATTATTCATAATTGCTAAGACATGGAACCAACCCAAATGTCCACAAACAGATGAATGGATAGAAAAATAGTGTTCTACTCTATGAAATACTATTCAGCCATAAAAAACAATAAGACCCTGGCATTTGATAGAAAGTGGTCGGATATGGAGGATCTATTGCTGAGTAAAGCAAGCCAGGATATGAAAGAAAGATATTGTATGTATCCACTCAATATATACCGACTATCCGCATTCTATGATAGAGAGCAAAAAATCGGAGTACATAAAAACAGTGGTAATAGTTATGGATGCTGAAGACAGTGTGAAATGGGGCAGGAGTAGGGAACAGTATAGAGAAGGATTGCAAGAGAACTAAAAGAGAGGCATGACATTAGTAGAACACAGAAATGGTTTATCACCTGGATTGATCTGAGAAGTATTTCATGTTGGGTAAATTCTTTTTATAAGCCAAATGATATGGACTGATTGAATATTTTTTTAAATGATAATAATAATAAACTGAATAAAATGATGAAAAGCTATTTGATTATGATGATGTGGATAGTAATGTCTTTGTCTTGACTGACATGCATGGGAATAAAGAAATGTAATACACTGTAAAGATATATGTGATTCAGTGCAATATAAAAAAGATTATGATAACAATAAATAAAATTAAATTTAAAAAAGAGTTAATGCTAAGTGAAATAAGTCACTCTATGAAAGACAAACACGGAAGCAGCAGGTGGCATGGTGGTTAAAGTGCTGGACACTCCCACATGGCTGACCACGGTTCAAGTCCTGGACCTGGCAGCTTACTTTCTCTCTCTCTCTCTCTCTCTCTCTCTCTCGTCAAATTAAAATAAATGAATGAATAAATAAAATAACTTAAAAAAAAAAAAGACAGACAAACACAGTATATCCCACTCAATATATTCTGTATGCACTCTATGGCAGAAATAGAATGATTTGAAGACCTAACAGTAGGGAGAACAAGCATAGATATCAGATAAATACCAGAGATTGTGTGGGAGGGGAACTGATTGTAGGGGGGAGGGAGGATCAGCAAGTAATTTAACAGACATTAAAAGTAAAATTCTTTGTTGAAAATGATGTATGTAGTTAATATACCCAATTCGATTATCATACACTGCACACAAGCTTTGTAAACCCACACTGTATACCATAAAGATTTCTGGCAACTAAATGTAAATAAGAAAATATAAAATAAACAAAAACAAGAATAAGAAAAAAAAGACTATGAGATATTTTGTTTGTGTGTAGCGTGTGTATATATACCTATTACATGCTACAGATCACATGTCTATGTGATAAAGGCTTTAAGGAATTTCATTCAACTTGACTTATAAAATAAAAGCACTTCATACAAATTAATTTAAAAAAAAAAAAAAAAGAAAGAAATATACCTCTCCTAAACCTCCAGTCATCTCCTTGTTCATCCTGATGGATTAACTGCTGCTTGGAAATCTGAGATACTTGATGTTGTAAACCCTTTCGATCTCCTTCTGCTTTAGTAAGTTGTGTACGCAGTTCTTCTACCTAAGAATATATAGTTTAAAATAAATTTTAATAGTTTTAAAAATTAGGGGAACATTTATGGAACTATCAATATAAGTTGTTATAAATTATTTCCCTGAGGAAAACATTAACCTCAGATGGGCTACTGTAAACACAAGTTGAAGGCAAGTTACTCTCCTTGCTCTACCAAGCACAATGGAATAGTTGCCCACTCCATTTCTTCATTCCTCCCATTCCTTCTGCAAAGAATGAAGGTTTTTTTTTTTCCTCTGTGTCCATTATGACAAAGAGTTTGACAACTTTTTTTGTAAGTTTCTTATTATATCTCAGTTTACTCGATAACTATTAACCCAAACAACCTCCAATTTGGTACTATATAATATTTTCCTATTTTTCACCTATTTTCTTTCATCTTCCATCTTCCTATTTCCTTTTTTTTTTTTTTTTGGAAAGGTTTTTGCTATAAGGCGCTTGTGCTCACCAGAAAGATAGAGACAGAGAGACAGAAAGCAAGAAATCACCCCCCAGGGGGGATGGCTATGCCACAATCCCTCCTCCTCCATTCTCCTCTCAAGATCTTGGGCACGCACGCACACACGCCTGGCATGAGTTTAAGTCCACCGGGTCTAATACCAGAACCATGGTCCACTACATGGGAGTCCAACAACACAGCCATTATGCTAACTGCTGGCCCCTCATCTTCCTATTTCTGAAGACAAGCACATAGCAGGTACTTCCAAAATGATCATTAAACAAGTGAGCAGTGCCAAAAACATTCAACTAAAGTCAGAATCACCATCTAAACAAAGAAATCTCTTGCTTAAAATGCTAAAAATTAGTGGGAGAAAAACCTGATATTAGAGATTAGAAGTGAGAGTTAAAAGGAAAAAAAAAAAAAGAAAAAGAAAGAAAGAAAAGAATTTAAAACAAATATAAACTTCCAAAAAGAAAGTCTGAATTCTGCCAACATTAACTCCATGTGACGGCTGGCTGCAAAACAAAGTCAAAAAACATTTTTAAAGGTTTTGTAAAACAGGTGCTATGGTGTATTTTCAGCAACAATTGTCAAAATGTAATATCCCTTCTGAACATCTATGATGCCTGACATCTTTGCCTACCAAGCATATTATGTAGGTGAGTTATGTAATATGCACCTCAAAACAAAAGAAGGGACAATTAGGTTCATATTAAACACGGAGATGCAGGTAGAAACCCTTACTCAAAGTACATAAGATGGCTATTTAAAGTTACTGAACTTTAAATACCAGAAGCACCAAATTCCCATTAAGAGCTAATGGACTACAAAAATGTTACACTGAAAAGTGAAGTCTTATATTTGGTTAAAAGGAGCCAGGTAGCATCTTGAAAACATGAATAAAAGACAATGATGTATTCAAAGTAACTTGAACATGTACAGGTCTGTTTTATGTATTTTACTTTCCTCCTTTACGCTCCAATACCTCCTTGAACAAAATTAAGCTCCTGGGAAAATTTTATCTCACATATCCAGTCTTACTTTTACATGGCGCATGCTAAGAGAGATAAGCAGTAAGTTGGAGCAGCAATTAGCAAGACATACTGCCACAGTGGGAATTTGGGCTGGGGTTTCATACCAGCTTTCTCCGAATCTTTCTGAAAGGATTTCATCACTTGCTTATGTGTGCTAATATGCACTTTTTAGGAAAAAAAATGTTCTAAGCCTATTTTTTTGTTCTTCACCAAGACATGTAATAGAGGAGGTGACTCAATCCTGATTTGACGTTAAATAAGATTATTAGGGACCAGCAGATGGTCTAATGGTTACGTTGCTAGATTCCCATGTAGTCGATTGCAGTTCAAGTCCTAGACCCAGCAGCTTGAAATTCACGTTGGATGCATGTGCATGCATGCCTGAAATCCGGAGAGGAGAATGAAGGAGAAGGAAGTGTAGCATTCCCCCTGAAGAGTGATTTCTTGCTTTCTGTCTCTCTGTTTCTCTCTGTCTCTCCAGCGAGCACACGCACCCTACAGAAAAAAATCTCTCTTAAAAAATTTTCTTAAATAAATTATTGTAGATTGCATAGACTTACCTGATGCAAAAGTGTTTCTCTACTGCCCTCTGATTGATTCAGTAACCTTCGAGACAGCTCCAATTCCTGTTCCAGCTAGAGTTTTAACAGAGGATAAAGAAAAATGTCCAATGGGGGAGAAAATAACCAAATTATTATGAGCACAATTTAAGAAAAAAGTGGAAAAGTTTTCAGAAGATATTTACAGCTAATATGAAATGATGAAAATCTCACTATACACATATATGAATGCTTCCTTTAAAATAATGTTAATTGCACAACATAAAGTGAACTAGACTAGGCTTCAGGACGTCTGGGATATAATCAGTTCCGTCTCAATTGTGACTAACATCTTTTGTTCTAGGCATTACTCTATTTTCTCTGAAATAAGGAGTTCATATGTACTAGATGGTCTCTGAAATCACTTCCAGTTCTAAATCATTTTAATCTACATTCTAACAGCATTTTTTTTTCCCTTAAAGCGCATAGTATCAAATGAACCAGACTAGAATAAAATAATACAGAGATCCAATGACTTGAAGTACATTTCATCTAACTGGTGATTTCTTACTTTCTAAATATTTCTAATAGTCATAAGATATTCCTAAAATTTTTTAATATTAGTATTCTAAATTCAAAATATATTTAAAAATTTTTATTGTACTGCCATTAGATAAATATCTATGGAAAATATGGCCAGTTACATGACTAAATACTAACTCTGAATATGCCTAGTTTACTTCAAGTTGAAAAATGTAACATGATGGGATGGAAGTTTGTTAAAATTTTAGGGCTTACATGTGTTAGACTTGTTTGGAGTTCGAAACAATGAGGTGGTTTCTTAAAAATCACAAATTTTTACTAAAATGCTTTTTAGTGCTTACATCTGTAATACTTATCCTAAATCATCATTTCACTTAAATTATTATATTACATACATATTAGTCCTCTAAAAACTATATGTGGTAGGTGTGGCTACTACCAAGGAGCATGAGAAGCCTTGCTCACAACCCTCCCCACCCTGCCACCCACACACAAGCACTTTACAGACCACTGGTGCACAAAAAGCTGGGAAAATCTGAACAAACTCTGTGGAAATACCAATATCAATTTGTTGGGTTTGACCTTAAATGGCAACTATGCGAAATGCTACCATTAAGGGAGTTGGGTGAAGGCTACACACTTTGTTTTGTAATGTCCTATGAATTCTAGAATTATTTCAAAATAAAAGCTTCATTAATTTTGAAAAAAATATGCAAATGGTTTACATAAAAATGTCATATACTTCAAAAAGTAAAATATATGTGAGATCACAAAAACTTCACAAAATATTGTTCAACTAGTTCACTCATGTCTATGAAGAAAGGAAGAGGGAAAAAAATCATACTAGTCAAATGACCTTTAAATCAACTGCAGACCATATTGGTTACTCCCAAGAGCAAATTTGATTACTGGCTAGAACCATCCTCACCATAAAGGCAACATGGGAGCATTATTTAACTCTACATAGATATGTGAATAAAAATAAAGAAGGTAATAGCAGGTAGAAAAAAGCAACAGGGGCAAATTTTTACTTCATTATTCATTGCCTTGGAAACATCTTTAAACCTATTCATTTGTAAATTAAGGAGAGTTGTTTGGCCTCTAAATTCCTTTCTAAAGCTAAACTATGTATTCAAAGACACAAATATACATCAAAGGTCTTTAATATTTCATGAGAATAGACAATGCTATCAAAATTACACTGCTTAACTATACCTATGTTCTGTAATAAAAACAAATAAATCCAAAACAGTCATGCAAAAGCCTTTAAATAATTGGTCTTTGCAATAAAGTCAAGTTCTTTAAATGTACTCTGGCAAGAAAGAATAAAGTTTTTGTTTGTTTCAGTTGTTGCTAAAGGGCACATGAGCTAGCTGTTGGGGGAGGGAAACATCGCCACCATTCCCACCCCTGGGAAAGGCCAAGCTGCAATCCCTTCTCTTCCATTTTCCTCTCAGAATTCTGGGAATGGGCACAAAAGTCCATGTGTTTTCCAAACTGCCAGGTCCACACCATCAGCCATGTGGGAGGCCTTAACCTCCTGAAAAGGGTGAAGTTCAATTTGGCTCTCAAGAAGAACAGCCATAGGTGACAAGATAGCAAAGACATGTGTGTATATTTCTACGAGCAAGCAGTCAAGAGTGGCATGGCCATTGAAGCAAAGGCATTAAAGGGCATTCTAAGTAAGATCTCAAACTCACTTTCCAAGGCACTACAAATATCATGGGCCCCACACCATGTTATTACTCGAATGATAATGTTCAAAATCTTACTTGATTCTTCTCAGTTTCTGTTTGTTTTAGTTTAATTTTTATTACTCCCTCATCCTCATCTGCTTTAGCTACTTGTTTCTTCAGAGCCTAGAAAGAGGTAGGGGAAAAAATGTATTATTCCAAAATACATAAACACTAAAAGTCACTAACAAATTTATTAAGACAAAGCTGAAAGTTGTACAAAATCTATAAATGAATTACAACCTACTCACTCACTGATACATCATCAGTGCATCAGCATTAAAGAAGGTTTTAATGGGGATAAAATATAAACAACTTACTGATCTTCCTAATCAATTTTTACTTAGTTTCATATTTTCTCTATCTCTGGGAAATTTGTTACATATTAAACAAGTCTAAATAGCTAATGCTTTCCTTGGAACAAAGTTTAATGCTTTTCTAGATTAATAGTTTGTTTAAATTCATTGTATTTAAGACTTATATATCTGTTCAACTATTTAGACATAACACCAAAAATTAGTTTTTCGAATTCTGAAAAAAATACTATCAACAAGAGAAAAACATGGTTGTTACATTATTATTACATATATGACATCTTATCACAACATAAAACTGGCTCTTCAAATCATATTTCAAGTAGAAGAAAAAAAGCATTCTTTTCTAGTTTCCTCATCAAAATGGAAGAAAAAGAACTTCAAGACAATACAGATTTTAAAAGTTAACCACAAAAATGTTTGCTTTGGTTTGTTTCTATATTAAAACAAAATTAAACTTAAGGAAAAAAATTATTCTTGGAGCAGTCTCATAATATCTAAAATGTACTGCATTTCTTTAAGTTTGATTTTTTTTCCCCCCCACAATTCCAGCATTTAGACTTAGCAAGGTATATGTGTAAAGGTCACACAAGCTAAGAAAACCCAAAGGGTCAGAAGTCTTTTCCATCAAGATCAATAGGCAAATGATTTTTAGGCAAACAGAAAAACTGCTTTGATGCAAGTATACTCAATCATCATCAATTTCATTAATATCACAAATATCTCCTAAATGCATTTACCATGTGTCGTGCATTGTGCCACAGGTCACTAACATATGTTTATATAATAGAACATGGCCCCCTACCCAGCTTTATCTGGAATGGCTCCTACTCTGACCAGTAAAAATAGCTACTAAGTAAAAAGGTAGAGAAATGTCAATAAAATAAATTAAAATCTTGAATTGAATATAGTAATGATATAACACTTTCATAATATTTAATATGCCCAGATATTCTTCTAACATATTTTAAACACATTATGTATAATAAATATATACTTTTAATACTCATGATAATTCTATGAGTCATTATTAACCCAATTTTATTCAGGGAGAAGTTGAGGCACAAGGAGTTCAATAACTTGCCCAAGGTCACTTAACTAATAAGTGACACATTCGGAATACAGATTCAGGCTTCCTGCCTCTTAACCATTTAGTGGCACTTCCTCTCCATGTTGAAATAAGAATATCAACTATACAGAATGGTAGTGCCTATACTATGACTGTTTCCATACCTGAAAAGCTCATAGGGCCATACCTGGCACATAACCATGAACAATGAAAGACAACTATTATTATTAAATGGTTGACAGTGGTAAAATATTTAAAATTATTAATGTTGGAACCAGCAGATGGCATAATGGTTACGACACTGCACTCCCACAAAATGGAGCATGGTTTGCATCCCGGACCTGGTGGCTTGAAACACACAGGGCACATGTCTGTGAGTGCCCAAAATCCCGAGAGGAGGGTAGAAGAAAAGAGACTGTGACATGGCCATCCTCTCTGGGGAATGATTTCTAGCTTTCTGTCTCTCTGTCCCTCTAGAGAGTGCACACACCCTATAGCAAAAATCTCTTTAAAAAAATAAAATCATCATTGCTTTTTGAGTAATCAAGTTGTGATATTTTATATTTATTCTTTATTATAAGGCAAGTGAAATCTGTAATAACACTTAATTCTGTGTGCATAATTATTCAATTTTTGCTAGTAGGATGTGTTTATAAATTTTTCATGAATAAAATCACCCTAGAAACTTGAAAATTACTGTTGGCATCTTTATTCTTTCCAGGTCTTTCTTGACTGAATGCCCCAATATGTGTGTGTATATGTATGTGTGGGCAGGAGGTGGGGAGGATTGGGTAAGTGGGTGAGAGAGAGAATGAAGAAAAGATATAAAGAAGTTATTCTAGGCCAGCAGGTGGCGTGGTGGTGAAGGCGCTGGACACTCCCACATGGCTAACCACGGTTCGAGTCCCAGGCCTGGTAGCTTGCTTTCTCACTTTTCTTCTCTCTGTGTGTCTTTCTCTGGTCAGATGAAAATGATTGAATGAATAAATAAAAATAAATAAATAATTATTTTTTAAAAAAGAAGGAATTATTACCACATTTTTTAAATCAATTCATTTTATGAAATTTTAAACTATCTTATTCCACAATATCATCATTCCAAACTAGCCCCATTTTTTATTAATGAGTTAAATTTTATTATCTTTTCAATACTTTTTCTTTGGACTAAGATATATGTTTATTTCATGTAGACTAAAAACCAGTCTGGGCCCTTTCTTAGAGTGGCGATTACAAGGAAGGCTTCTTCAGGCAGTTGGCAAGTTTCATCAAACAATAAATAGTCAATTTCCAATTCTGGATTCAAACATCTAGGCAGAAGCCAAATCCACATCAGGTGAGTTATTTAGGGCCACTGCATGCATAGGACAGAAATGTGAATAACTTCAAGTAAGAAGAGCCTGTCCCAAACACAAAAGCCATTCCCTTCCAAAGCAAAGTTCAAAATCTTAACTCGGAAGACTCAAGACACTTCCAGTGGGATTTTGTGTACCTCTTCATGCTCCAGACTGTTCACACCTCTGTCCTCTGCTTATTTATGTAACATAAGCAGAAGGAGTCTCCAGGGGAGCTTTTAAATTTGACTAACCTCATGCTGCAACTCTGAGTTTAACTTACTTAAGAATTTAAACATCGAAATTCTTCACTGAGGAAATTTTCCAGTGTAATAACTAGAATTAATCCATTAATGCCCCTTTCACATGATTTCTCATCATTATTAAAATCCTAAAACATTTTATCCTGATAAAACAAAGATATGTTAACATTTCCCAGTGTTTGCTTACTTTATTTCAATTAAACACACTGAAAAATATTTTCAATGCATATACTTATTTTACTTATTTAATTAGACACTCAAAATAATCATTCAAGATCTAATTTGATTCAAAGTAGTAGTTAACTATCAAAGGGCTTAAATTTCCAAAGAGGAATAGAAAAGCTTGCATGTCACTAAGGTATAAATTTGAGAAGGCCAAGGACCTCATCTGCCATAATCACATGTTATTTCTAAGATAGTACTTGGCACATATAAGGTGGAAAACATGTTACTGAATGTATACATGAATATCTCTCCATAACGTCTAATAATTTCACCTGGAAACTGGCCACCCATGTCCTTCATATACTAGCAGGCTTCCCAGATTTCTCCTATCTTTCTTAATAATTGTATTTTCACAAGCATCAAGTTGTCTTTCTTTGAAAAACCATTATCGTAGTATAGTGATGTTGAAAATAAGTGTTTTTGTGTTTAATTCAAATAAATAATAACCTTTCCCTGTTTGCAGAACTCATCATTTTAATCTTTGCCTTTAAAAAATCTCTTGGGGTAGGCAGGTGGTGTGGTGGTTAAGGGTGCTGGACTCCCATATGGCCAATAGAAATTTGAGTCTTGGACCTGGCAGCTTGGTTTCTCACTCAGTCTCTCTATCTCTCTGTCCCTCTCTGGTCAAAATAAATAAACAAGATAAATAGATTTAAATAATTCTTTTTAAAAAAATCTCCTAAATGGGATTTAAATCTTTTTTTTTTTTTTGGGGGGGGGGGGCATAACTTCAGGTTTATGAAGAGTTGAAAAAATAGAATTCTCCCATACCTTTCACCCAGCTTTCTCTAAAATTAACATCTCATATAACCATTGTACATTTATCAAAACTAAGAAGGTGAGGCACTGGCACAATAGTAAAATGCAACACTCTGTGAGGCTTACTCACATGTAAAGGTCCAGGTTCACATCCAGAGACCTCTCTGAACGAGACCACACACATGTTCATAACCTGGGGCTAGCTGGGGGTGGACTGTAGTGTCAAGACTGCTGGGAGTGCTGTCTCTCTGTCTCTTCTTCATGGAAGAAATAAATAAATAAATTTTCTTTTAAAAAGCTAAAATATTGGGGCCAGCAGATGGCATACTGGTTTCGTCACTAGATTGACATCTTACTGATCATGGTTAGAGTACTGAAACCCAGTGGCTTCAAATTCATGCCAGGTGCGTGTGCGTGCATGCGTGCCCAAGATCTCAGGAGAAGAATGAAGGAAAACGGGATTGCAGCATGGTCATCCCTCCTTGGGGGTGATTTCTCACCTTCCCTCTCACTGTCTCCATCTCATGTCATTATTTTTCCATTAATGTTCTTTTGGTTCCAAAATCCAATCCATGATACTATGCTGTACTTAGTCAGCTTATCTTCTTCGTCTCCTCTAACCTTAAAGTATCTCAGTCTTCCACTGTCTTTTATGTCAATATTTTTTGAAGAGTACTAGAATCAGGTATTGTGTATAATATCCCTCAATCCGAGTCTGTCTGATGACTTCTCATGATCAGACGGAGCTTACAATCTTGAGAGAAGAATCCCTCAGAGGTAAGGTACCTTTCTTACTGCATCACACTGTAAGGTACCCGATATCTATGTGACTCATAACCAGTGATGTTAATCTTGTACCTGCTTAAGGTAAGCTGTGGTTTGCCAAGTTTTCCTCACACAAAGTTGATATTATTCCCTTTCTATATATTTGTCTGGAGAGAGTCACTAGGTGAAGTCCACACTCAAAGAATGAAGAATTAAGCTCCACTTCCCAGAGGGAAGTATCAAAGAATATGCTGGAATATGTTAAAATCACTACTGTGACAAATATTAATATTTTAAGAGATACTAAAGTTATACAAGTATAGTTAATTTCACCCACCAATTTTAGCTCAGAGCCAGACCAGAATTTACTATATCAGTGATTTGATCTTCTTTAGCCTAA